TCATCTTCAACAGTAAGTACAGGAGTGGCTTAAGACAAATTCCGTCATTTCTCAGCAGTCAAAGGATATCTGCCAATGAGCGGAGTATTCGCATGGAAACGAAAAATTACACCATTAACAAACGGCTGTCAAAATAAGGCTCAGATAATTTGCTTTTATCGACTGAGTTGGTGTTGTAAATCGGCCCCGCTTAAATCGTTTCGAGTGTTTCTCCTCCGCTATTCGTTCTGACAGGGCTAACGCTCAAACCACAAGCGATACGAACTCTTTATGGTGGCCAAGTTACATTGTCAACTCGACCAGCTGATAAACCAAATTAACAAGTAGTAACCCTCAAAGGTGCAGCTCAATGAATCGATAAACAGATAAATCAAATGAGATGAAAAAAGGGAAGAAATAAAAAAATATATATGTGGATAACAATACATTTTTGCATGAGTAGATTTTATTCATTTAATTGCTTGTGGTATTTAAATAATTTATTTGCATGTCACTTTTGTCAAGAGGCTTAGTTTGAATATGAACAGGTATGAGTGCCGCACAGGATATTTAATCGGGAAAATGCAGTACTATATTTAAATGGGCGGAATGTCTCCGCTTTTATTCTGATTCAAAGAAACATCTGTGACAATTCTGCGTCAGATTATTTTCTCACAAAATCAACTCTGAGACAATCGTAAAATTGTTACGATTCTGAGACACCGAATTTCGCGTCTGTGACCTACACGAGTCTCACATTACTAGATTTTATTTTTATGAAAGCTTACCCTTCTTTGTATACCACTACAATACAATACAATACAACGCAATGCAATACAATATAATACAATACAATACAAGTTTTATTGTCAACTCCCCATGGGGGCTTTTCAGAGACGAAAAACGAAGAACCGGATGGACTTAAACGAAGCACCTGAAGTGTATAAGATAGGCCGTACGTGCTTGTATCTATCTCTTTATTGATAAAGCAACTCAAACAATTTTCGGGAAGGCTGGAAAGAATACCTTTGTGTTAGTAACAGGTACTAAGTTTGAGAAAACCTACGATGCAGAATAACAGAGCGTTTGCTGCGAGTGTAGAAGAGTCGAAATATCCAAATCCACCGTAAGAGGTCAGACCTGGTCTCCACGAGATAATTCCCGTATCTTTTCCATTTTTTCATTTACTTACTTAAAAGATACAGCTCTTTCCAATTAGCAAGTTCTGACGTCTTTAAGAACATAGGTCATCTGCGAGATACGTACATTATAGCTTCTGTTTTTAAACGAACGAATCCTGTGATATAAAAATGGTTTTTAATTATACTGTTAATGTAACTCATATCACAAAGAAGGTTTTGCACTTGACTTTATTTTAATGTGAGCAGGATTGTGAGAACTCTGAAAGTCTCGTTTGTCCCCATTAACGGGACTTAAATTTCCATATTTTTTCTCTTTTTTTGCAAGATCAGATCCAAACCCTGGTCATTTTATCAGGTGCTTTGTTTACCTGCACCATTGTTGTCAATTACATGGAGTAGGAATAACGCGCAAAGGGTATAAGGCTATTTTTCATATGTCTACAATCCGCTGGATAATTGTTTGACATGTTTTCTAAACGAACTTTCAAAACTTCAAATAACACAGTTTTTCTACCACGCTATTGTTATCCCAGTAGATGATCGGACACGGATAGCTTAGAAAATTTCATCATTTATTATCGGGAAATCTAAAGAACTAGAAAAACATAATTCAATGAAAGCCGGAACTACTCAAACTTATATTTGTACTATAATAATATACATGAAAAAATTACTCAGTTCTGATTGGTGAAGATAAATGCAGTTTTCAGGTAGTTCGGTGCAGAAGAGAGTTAATTCAATGCAGAAAGGGTTAATTCAGTGCAAAGTAAGTAACAAATCAGACATTCTGATTGGTCAATGATCAAAGAAACTCACAGATAGCCAATCAAATGCGAGCCTTGGATATCGCAACAAAATTTGAAAATTTGAAATTTGCGAGCGAAACAATGGCCGGCGTTTTATGTAGGCCTTCTTTGCGCACCGCATCTGAAAAATAGCTCAAACAACGAAAACACTGTAAAAAGCACTGCTTTTTGGTTATTGGTTTGGAAAAAGAGGTGTTTAGAGAAGGGAATTGCCAAGGAAATCGAAAATTACGAGCCGACCCAGTTTAACACTTTGCTCGAGTGATCCAACGCCGAAATTAAAAACAAACAAGGTTAAACCTCGGAAACGACGATTCCATTTCATCGAAAGTGATTCGGACACAGACTGAACAATTCCTTGAACTGTTTAGCCGGACTTTGAACCTTTTTTGCGCCTTAAAGATGTGAAGATATCATGACATATTATCGTTTTGATCGTACGCAGTTGCTTTGACCAAATGCACGGTTTGAATAAATTATTTTTCCACTTGATGCGCGCGCTTTGCTTACGCTTAATTATGATAAGCCATCTCGTATTTTTCCATGTATATTATAAACAAGTACAGTACTGTGCAAAAGTAATGCAAACGAATATCGTCGTTTATCGCGATAATCGCGAGATATCGGCGATATCTAAGCGATATTTCCGTTGGAACGATATATCGGCGATATATCGCGGGGCCATTGTTCTAACAACCGCGAGATATTGCCGAAATATCGTTGAGCCCCTCACGAATTATCGTTTTCCCTGAGCAATATATCGTTTGAGCTCAGCGATATATCGTTTGAACTCAGCGATAAATCGCTTTTCCTGAACGATGTATCGTTTAAATTCAGCGATATATCGTTTGAGCTCAGCGATATATCACTGCCGCCTAACGATATCTCGTTTAAACTAAGCGACATATCGTTGCGGCTTAGCGATATATTGTTTGCGTCGGTAAGATATCGCCATGGCTAAGTGCGAGATCGGTGAGGCAACATTGCGACGTTCGGCGAATTTTTCATCAGACTGATACTGTCTGAGTGAGTAGGAAAGTAAACCTAGGGTATCGTTCTATTCGAAGTCTGTTTCATCAGCGTCAAAAGGGCAGTATAATGAATTTGAGCCAACTTCGCTACATACAGAGTCGGCTATGGTCGAAGTTTGGCACACGTTCGCTGCGCATCAGTTAAGCAAGTTCGCTACCACCCAAAATAAAACAAATTATAAGAAAGACTTTATTTATTTTGATACTATCGAACAAACAAGAATAGCGAGAGCGAAAAAAAGGCAGCTTGTGAAAACGGTATCCAGGAAGGGTGCAAAGCTTACCTTTTTTTACGGCGTTGCGATGTGTTATTGCATCCCTATGGGAACCGACCTGTATTTGCATATAATGTACCCACGGGACAATACCGTAGACAGTCAGGTTACTTCATATACGCGAAAAAGAATGGCTTTTCTCCATAAGGAAGGATTTTATCCTGTACAGATATTGAAAGCCTTGAGACGCGAAAATCTACAAGGAAGCTTAGCAAGCGTCAACAGGATCATCAAAAAAATACAGAAAACTGGATCCGCTGAAAACCGCCCTCGATCAGGAAGGCCGACAAAGCTTCCAGCAGATATGAAAGCTTTTATTGAGAAGCAAATGCGTATAAACGACAAGGCAACAAGCATTCAAATTCAAAAACAACTGGCCAAGCGTGGAATCTTTATGAACTCCTCCACTGTGCGAAGATCGCGAGCCAAACAGGGATGGACGCTGTAGCGCACTCATTACTGTCAACTGATAAGAGTAGCTAATAAGGTGAAAAGACTAGAGTATGCACAACAAATCCTGGATTCCGGTGATACATTCCATAATTTCATATTCTCTGATGAATGCTCAGTGTCGCTAGAACAATACAGACGTACATGCTACCGAAAGGTCGACGAGCCATTGAAAAGAAAACCGAAGCC